GGGGAAGGATACTGCAAAATCTCCATTCCCTCCTCACTCCAGGGGGAGAAGACTGCAAAATCTCCATTCCCTCCCCACTCCAGGGGAAGGATACTGCAAAATCCCCATTCCCTCCCCACACTGGGGCCAGCCAGAGGTGGTATTTGCCGGTTCTGCAAACTACTCAAAACTTCCGCTACCGGTTCTCCAGAACCTGTTGAATTTCACCCCTGCCAAAGAGGGTTGATGAGATGCTGTTGCCTGCTGACCAGGGTGGATAAAAATCGATGATTTTTTTAAATTAAAAAAATCAGGTTTTTTTAATTTAAATTGGATTTTTAAAAATTTAACACAGATTTTTTTTAATCTAATTTATTTTAATAAAATGCTTTCGGAGTTAAAAAAAATCTATCTAAAGAGAGTTTTCTATTTAAGATACATGCATCAGTTTATTCAGCATGAAATGGAGCTTCGTTAGGTAGCGTGAGGCTGTCTTTTCTGCAATATTGGGACTGTCGGTGAATCAACAATGGGTCAGGCAGAGGACAGAGATGACAGCTGCTCTTTAAAAATGATGATTTCAACCGAGTTGATTTAAATCAAGCCTTTTTCCTGGTGATTCAAATCGTGATTCAAATCGTGACTCAAATCAACTTGATTTAAAGTGTGATTTTTAATTCGTGATTTAATTCGTGATTTAAATCAAGTTGATTTAAGTTGTGATTTTAATTTGTGATTTAATTCATGATTTAAATGAACTTGATTTAATTCATGATTTAAACCAACTTGATTTAAATCCAATCCGCCCTGCTGCTGACACTTAAATTATCTGTCCAATTTGAAAGAAGAGGAATCCTGAGGGCAGGGCTGGCTTACAGGGCACTAACTGGCTGAAGCATCTGCTTCTCCGCCAGGGAAAGATGGAATGGCTCTCTGCTTTGGAGATCTTTATTGATCAGAGAAAGAAAAAACGAGCCCACAACATCCTTGGAAGTTTGGAGTAACAATTCATCCCTTTCCCTCTCCCCCCTTCCCAGGAGAGAAGAAACTGCACGAGGAAAGCAGGATCGCTCCAAAACAAGGGAAAAGAAAGAACGAAACATCATCCTACCTTGCTATCTTCTTGCTGGAGAGTCTCTTATTCGGGCTGTGGAGCAAACAACAGGAAAACTAAGTTAGGAAAGCTGACACCAGCGAATGAAACAGGAAGCAAGCAAAGACAGAGCCATATCCTTTACAATTTGCAGCACAGCACACAGCACACATCACCCCCACGCGGCATGCATCGCCCTCCCTCCGTCTTAGCCCGCTGGCCATGCCAATCTTTCGAAGCCCCTCCCAAGGGCGCTTTCTCACAGAAGCATCGCAGCTGACCCTCTCTGGAACCCGTACACCAGTTTCTCCCAAACTCTACCTGTTTTGGACAGGTAGGACTTCAACTCCCAGAATTCCCCAGCCAGCAAAGCTTTTTTTTTGTTCCTGGCTGAGGATGAGACTTCTCTTTGAGTGACATGCCAAGGAAGGCAATAAGGTATTTTAGTTGGAAGAAGGCAAAACAAGGTTTCACCAAACTTGAAACGATCGGCCAACAGGTTATAAAATTACTCCCCTAACTGTAATATTATTAATGTTCTCCTCCATTAAAAAATACAATTCCACAGCATCGTTTGCACAGTGTTGCGGATAGCGTCCCTGTGGTCTTAAGGGGGAGGAATCCAATAGCTCAGAGGAAGTGTGTACAAAGATAAAAGAAAATTAGTAATAAGGATATACTAAATCAGTGGTTCCCAAACTTGGCAACTTTAAGACTTGTGGACTTCAACTCCCAGAATTCTCCAGCCAGCAGAGCTGGCTGGAGAATTCTGGGANTCGACTCAGCCTTCCATCCTTCCGAGGTGAGTGAAATGAGGACCCGGACTATGGGGGCAAGTTGCTGACTCAATTTGCTAAAAAATTTGTAAACCACTTAGAGAGGGCTGAAAGCCCTATCGGTATATAAGTCTAATAAATAAATAAATAAATAAATAATATAAATGTTAAAAACATCTATATCAAATATCAATGTCTAGGCCATCTAACCATTGAAGCATAGCATCATTTATATAAAAAAAATTCAGATACTGGACTGGTATATACCCTCAGTTTACCGGCAGTCACAATGTGATCTACAATTTGACGTGGTACCATGCAGTCACACTGAGGGGATGATACTATGCCCCATTTATACAGAGACTCCCGGGAGACGCTATTGAGCTGCGAATCCTATTCAGGATTGTCCATTGCTGATGTGGTAATTCAAAGCTTGGCACTGTTTTTATGGGATCATCTATTTATCTTCCTATAACTGGGAATTCAGCGACCAATTTGGCTTTCCATTGGGAATTGATGTTAAAGGTGTTGGGAAGATGCCAATGGGGCTTTCTGAATTTAAGTCTTCTAGTTGATAAATGAGAAAGATCATGCATTGGTAGGAGAAGGTTGTTCAAATTTTTTTTGTATTCTCTCATTATAGTGCATCTTGCCTTTATAAAGCTGGTGCTGCTATATGGCTCAGAACAGGAAGCCAGCAAGTACTTGGCAACGATTGAGCTGTTATTTATTCTAAGCTTATTTGCCTGAGTTGGTAGTTCCTTGATTGGATTGATTGGGGTATTGTTTGCTTCTTGATTATTGGTCTAAAGTTAATCTTGGTGTTAATCTCTTCTCATCTGGGTATTGATTGCTGATGAGGAAGTGTTTGGTCTTTTTGTTTTCTTTTTGGTTTTTTGTTTATCTCATTAGAATAGTATGTACCATGTTTGCCAGAAAATAAGCCCTAGCAGGATTTTTCAGGATGCTGGTAATATAAGCCCTACCCCAAAATAAGCCCCAGTTAAGATCATCAACCCTTGCAGGGTGGGTGGGCGTGGCCAGTAGAGGAGGCAACAAGCATGCAGAGGCCGACCCAGTGGTCGCAGCGCTTGGACTTATCTGCGCTGCGTGGGCTGTGGAACCCCAGAGTGGGGTGGCGGGCTGCAGCTGCTGCCGGACACCATTGTCCCCCGTGCGCTTACTGCCTCTTGTGTGCACGCTGGGGTGTGGGGTGCCCGGCCAGACTGGTCCCTTGCGATCACCCTCATACCTTGTTTCCCCGTACCAGGTTGCGGCTTGTTCAGAACTGGGCTGCACAAGTGGTGAGTGAGCACACACAAATCTTCACTTGGAGCTGTCCGTGCGTGTCTACTGATCACATAGAATCATCTTTTTCTCCCCCGCTGGTCTACCAAGCTGGAAAGTTTAGGGACAGCTGGTATAAGATTTAGAAACAACAGAAAAATATCATATGCAACTAAATTTTATTTAGTTTATGTTCAATTAAATTATGTACTATTCTGTAAATCTTCCTAATAACACAGGCCATGGATTTCACACAAACGATCAAAAAGCAAAGGTGAAAGAAAAAAACCTTGTCTGATTCCTCTAAATAATGGGAAAATAGAAGAAAATATACCATTAACCTTTATTTTGGATATGGGGAACACAAATAATATCTTGATCCATTTTATGAATTTCAAACAAAATCCTAACCTACTTAATATAGCAAACATGACTGTTTATATATTTTGTCAAAAGCCTTTTCAGTATCCAACAATAAGATTATAAATTGGTCTTCATTTTTATTCAAGTCTATTAAAGCGACAACCAACCTAATATTGTTTGCTGCTTGATCATTTTTAATAATAAGCAGTAATATTTGCTGTAATCTATTTGCTAGCACTGTTGTTTCTATCAACATTAATAGATGATTCAATCTTTCTATCAACATCAATAGATGAGATTGGGTGATAATTAGCACATTGGATATGATCTTTACCTGATTTTGGTATAATTGCAGTATAAGTCTGATTAAATGTTTCTGTTTAATGCCTAATATTCCTTTATCAAATATCTCATCATAAAATTTTGGCACCAAAAGATCTATAAATGTTTTGTTCCATAGGCAATCCATTCAATCCTGATGTTATACTAACTTGCTATTTTTAAAATTATTTGTTTAGCTTTTACTCGGATAGTGGGGTAGATAAATGTCTTTGTGTGTATCTTGGTGTTTTAAAAACAAACAATGTTTTGCATGAAATACTTGTGTTTCATGCAAAAGTGAAAAATAAAAATAAATATTTTACATGTTCACGTGAAAAACAAAACTTGGAATATCTGGTAAAGTTTAGAAAAGTATTGAAGCTGAATTGATGCAATAAATCAAATCTATTAATACTGTACTTAGGCTGTCTTCTAATATACTTCACAACAGGTATTGTTGACTGTACAAAAACTGAACTAAATGCTTCTGATCATAAGACTCCAAACTTCTGACAATACATCACTTCATCCAATAAGCAAACATAGATTGTGTTTACCAAGGAAAATTGATGGTCTTTAATTGCATGTGAACCAGACAGTGGAAGATGAAATCAGAGGTGTAAATGATTATATAAAAAACAAGCAGAGGGAGAATATTAAGGCCTGCAAGACAAACTCTTGAATGTGATGGAATCAGAAGGAACATACAGAACTGATTATAACAATGAATGAAAAATTGGAAAGATAAACCTACGTTGCCAATACCTAAAAAAATAGTAATACACTTGGTAATGACTTCAGATTGGATTCATCAAGATTGAACATTTATAGCATAAAAACAAGCATTAGCAGCAAGTGCCATAAAATAACTTTTAAGAAACAGGAAACAGCAAATATAGATTATGCAAGGAGAAAGACAAGACACTTGATTATCTAAAAAATGGTGGCTGCAATATTGTCCAGACATGTTGCATGGCAAAATGGTATGTTGGAATTGATGCCCCAGAATAATAGTATGACCATACTAGCACTTAGACTTATATGCCACGTTACAGTGCTTTATAGTCCTCTCTAAGTGGTTTACAGAGTCAGCATATGGCCCCCAACAATCTGAGACCTCATATTGGAAGAGTGTTTCAGAATTAACATGTAAAAATGTTATGGAACTTCCAAATTCAGACTGACATGTACAATGCAATATTTTTGACATCACAATAGTTGAAGAAAAGTGTGCTTTACCTAAAGATGTAGTAATGCCAAATGATAGCAAAGTGGCTCAAAAGAAACTAAAAAATATTGTGAATTTAGACTCACCCAGTAAAATACATATATTATGAAGTAATGCATCAAAAGTTTCTTATAGCAGCAAAATTGTCAAAAAGTTGAAAAAAATAGAATGTTTTGGCTTCACAATATTTTGCAAAAAAACGTAGATATTTATAGTGACATTTTTAGGTAAAGCTTAGATTTTGGAATAAAGCTTGAATTGTCCTTAAATTATCAGCAATTAGAAATGGTAGTTCCATGACAAAGAA